CCCTTAAAAGCTCAGACCAGAATTAATATATTTCAAAACTAAAAAACCCCCAATCTCTTCAGAACTTCATGGGCTCTAATATGATATGGCACATGATGGACTTACTTTAAATCTTAAAGTTAATTTACATATTTTTTTTAAAATGCAGTGATTAAAAAATAATAATATGCTTTAAAAATTCCCCAAAAATGTATTGATTATTTCATATTTCTAAGAGCTTCCTGCAATTTTTTATCTTGGGATCTCAATGGGATCACTTTTTTAAAAAAAAATTGTACATACATGTTGACCTTATTGGGTTCTATTTAGGATGAATGGATCTTCCTGGAGTAAAATATAACAGAATAAACAAGACTTCAAACCATAATAACAGTTACTTCAAGCGTTTCCTCAAAATGTTATCCAATTAAAGGGTTTCTGAAAAGCTAGTCGGGCTTTTCTTTTAAGCCAGTAGCAGTGCCACTACTGGTTGCAGCTGCTATTTACATTTTCTAAAAGTGTTTAATTCACTTCACATCTGGTTTGGGCCCAAGGCAAGGGAGAGAGTTAACTTGGACTCTCTAGTGGCCAACCATGTATTTTGTACAAACTATACAAAATATAAATAAAACATTTACAAACAAAACACTTAAATAGCTACCTTTCTACCGGTAGGACGGTAGGACGGGGGGCGGGGAGCATGGATGTAGGCAGGCTTTTTGTTAGGGGGGCAGGCTTTTGTTAGGGGCAGAACCTCTGATTTGTATTGATTTGTATTGAGTTTTACTTATGGGGGCAGCTGCCCCCCTGCCCCCCCCAGCTACACCTATGGGCAGGCCCACAGGAAGGAAACGAGGTCAGAAGGGGGCCACAGTTGGGAAAAGGTTGGGAAACACTGATCTAGAAGAAGCAAGTTAGGTGGAAGGAGAGGAAACGAATAGACAAATATGGGCAAGAAACCCAGACAAGCCTCCCAAACAGGCACTACAATATATTTAAAGCACATGAAATAATTTGCTGTTAAAGCATATAGACAAAATTTTCTCCCCGCCCCTAGCTTGTTCTTCCAGCCCACTAGATTTACAATGTACTTTTCATTTCTGTCCGATGTGTTCTCTTGATGCAGAATGAGATGAGTACAAAGAAATCCATCAGATTTTATGATCCCTTTGTATTAAATATTGATAACCTGACAGAATGTCTGAGGCAGCTCTCTGCTTGGCAAGAGGAATCGCTCAGCCACATAAACCAAGGAGTCTGTACATAAGCAATTACTTAAATGTTACTGTAACGGGCAGGATAGACACAAAAGTATTGTTTTTACAAGACAACTGAAAGTGGGGGAGAGTGAGGGGGTGGTGTTGTTTTTAAGGAAGAACAAGAAAAATATTTCTTTAAAAGTTCCCTCAGGTTTATACCTCACCCTCCCAAAAAAAAAAGAAGATTTAAAACAGATGAAGAGTGAAATACAGTGTAGATAAAGAGAGGAAACAAGTCTCAGTGGTTTTTAAAATACTATTTACCGGTATTTAACTAACAAACAAGAAAAACACATATTTAAATCACAGTACAGTGGTACCTCAGGTTAAGAACTTAATTCGTTCCGGAGGTCTGTTCTTAACCTGAAACTGTTCTTAACCTGAAGCACAACTTTAGCTAACGGGGCCTCCTGCTGCCGCCGCGCCGCTGGAGCACGATTTCTGTTCTCATCCTGAAGCAAAGTTCTTAACCTGAGGTACTATTTCTGGGTTAGCGGAGTCTGTAACCTGAAGCGTATGTAACCCGAGGTACCACTGTACAGCATGCTGAGATGGTTACAAATAATCCACTTGTATAATAAATTATATTCGTGTAATTTAAATAATCAAATAACAAAGGACTGAAATTAAATTTGGGGTCAGATCCAAAGTATGCTGTTTGCTCTGATTGAGTGCTAAAGAGCAGTTCTCCCCAGTGTGGAGAAGCCCTAAGTCTGCACATTAATTCAGCTATGCCTTCTACAAGGGGTCTTCTTTGTAACCTGACAAGTTCTGCCTAGAGGTTCAGTCTTATTCAGCTAGCCACATCCAGGGCCAGAAACCTCCAATAAAGTCTGAAAATAGAAAGAGCTCTCCTTGGGGGAATTGACTAGGGCTTTCCTGCAAAGGTCCTGAATAACCTGAAAGAAAGAGAGAGAGAAACAGAAGCAGGGAAATGGGAACAGGAGTCAAAGGTACAGGGGCTAGCTCAGAAAAAGATGTCATACTCCAGTCTGTATCCATGAGGCAAACTTTGAAATACCATATTTTTTGCTCTATAAGACTCACTTTTTTCCCTCCTAAAAATTAAGGGGAAATGTGTGTGCGTCTTATTGAGTGAATGCAGGCTGCCCAGCTATCCCAGAAGCCAGAACATCAAGAGAGATTGCTGCTTTCACTGCGCAGCAATCCCTCTTGCTGTTCTGGCTTCTGAGATTCAGAATATTTTTTTCCTTGTTTTTCTCCTCCAAAAACTAGGTGCGTCTTGTGGTCTGGTGCGTTTTATAGAGCGAAAAATACAGTAAGTTACGTGGATCAGGCTGGTGAGTGTCAGACCTAAGAGAATGAACATTTTGGGGACAGGTGCCTAGTTATAGGAAGGAGACTTCCTGACTGGCCTGGGCTCAGAAACAAAGGATTATCGTGCAAAGGACATTTATCATGTGAAGGATTATCACGTGAAAGACATTGCCATGGAAGGCAATGAATTAGTCAGTCAGGAAAAGGAGGAGGACTTTTGCAGGAAATGTAAATTTTGGTTTAATCTAATTACCTGGGGTTGATAGAAGTTGCTTGATAGAAACAGCTCCTTGATAACTGTCAATAATTAATTAATGCTAAATAAGGATTTCTATTTGCATTAGATATGGCAGAGATTCCCGGGGACCAGGCCTGCATTTACATAGTTCATTATGCATATCAGTCACCATAGGGAAATTCTCCTATCTTTTTGGCTGGAAGACCTCAGCTTCTCTTGATGGGGGTATACCCAAGTCTAAAAGGTAAAGGTAAAGGTACCCCTGCCCGTACAGGCCAGTCTTGCCAGACTCTTGGGTTGTGCGCCCATCTCACTCAAGAGGCCGGGGGCTAGCGCTGTCCAGAGACACTTCTGGGTCACGTGGCCAGCGTGACATCGCTGCTCTGGCGAGCCAGAGCCGCACACGGAAACGCCGTTTACCTTCCCGCTAGTAAGCGGTCCCTATTTATCTACTTGCACCTGGGAGTGCTTTCGAACTGCTAGGTTGGCAGGCGCTGGGACCGAACAACGGGAGCGCACCCCGCCGCGGGGATTCGAACCGCCGACCTTTCGATCGGCAAGCCCTAGGCGTGAGGCTTTTACCCACAGCGCCACCCGCGTCCCTATACCCAAGTCTAATTACCTCTAAATACACAGTATTGACTCCTGTGCAAGGGCATCACACTCATTGTTTGAAGCAAGGAGAAAACAAGCGCATCATTTCAGGGCATGTAGAGAGTTCCCCAAAGGCACACCCTTCCATTGTCTCCCAAGACAAAGGGATGCCAACCAACCAAGGAGAGTTCCAGTGGAACTGAGCTACTGAAGGCTACTGGGCTCTGTGCAAATTATTTCCAGGTAAACATTGTGCTGAATGCCTACCTACAAATGAGACAGTCCACAATGGTTCTTTGATGTCTGTTTTTAAACTTTTTATATGGCTTTAGGGCATGTTTTATGTATTATTGCTGTAAAGCACTTGGATGGCTTTTCTTTTTTCTTTTAATGATATAACAGTATGTAATTATTTTTCAAATAAATAAATAAAACTGAAGCTGGGTGCAAGTGACTAAAACCAGTAGACGAAACTCCTTCCCAAATTGCCTGAGATGCCTACGCTTTTGTGCTGCCATTCATTACTTCCCTGGCCAAGCCAAGGCCAAAAGCCTTTCCTTACAGGGTGTCTTAGTCTGGACTATTCCTCCTTTGCTGCAAAGCGCTGAAGGGAGATGTCATCTTGGACGAAGCCTCCTGGCCCTCTCCAAGCTTTTTAATCATTAAGCGGGTTAGGCCTCTAACCAGAAAAATCAGGCCCCTTATGTTGTCTTTGGTTTGTCTCCTCTCCCTCTTGCGTGCGCGCGCACACACACACACACTTTCATTCCCGTAAAACCCAACCTCTCCCTGCCAAAAGTATAATAGTGAGCCCATGAGGAGAGCTGTGTGCAGAATACCAACGACACGGTCATAAAAGTATGAGAACAGCGTTCACGTCTAGCACAGCGGGACAATGGGGGTGGAAAATAGTATTCATTCAACTTCTCTTGTGGAGTCAAAGGCTGCTGGCAAGCAAGGATGGGTTCTAAAAATAGTGCCGAATCTTAAAAGGAGAGAAGCAACGTGGAATTAACTAAATCATTTCCAAATGTCCCATAGAGCTGTTCTGCTAAAACAATCTGGAGAAGCACTTGGGTCCTTAGACCACTGTATATACAGGAAGGACGCATCATGGTCAAGCCCTCCCTGTTTTAACAAATAAAATGAATGGGTCTGAGTTGGTTTTCTATTTTATTTGTACTAGACGATGGCATATTAGCGAAGAGGCTGCAAGGTGCTTGGAGAGACACCTCCTAGGGTATCTTCTATGACCTGCAGTCAGTAGACCGTCTGCTTTGACACAAGAGTTTAAATGGGTCATACAAGAGCTGGAACTGGACTTGTCAATATCTGTCCTACTTTTTGTTTTATATTTTTGTGTCTCTCCATTCAGCAGAGGTCCCTAAGATCAGGTGGTTCGGGACAGAAAGAAAAATAATAAAAAGAAACTAAACAGTTTTGCTACTCAGTTGAATTGTGGGCTTTCGGCTAGATAGCTGCCTCCAGCCCAGCAGTATAAGAGGGAATCTCATCCCCTGGGTGAGGAGACTCAAACCCAGTGTTGGCTGCAGCGCTGGCTGCTGCTCTTCCAGGTGCCCCTCCCCCCCCCAAAAAAAAATCAGAGTAGCTTTTCAGCAGAGCTTGGCTTGAGGAACACCCTCTGGGTTGTCTCAAGTTGTTCATTTCCTATACCTTGAAAGTAGAACTTCTGTTTAGAAACAGCTTTGTGTCTAACCCAACTCATTCTTCAGAGATGAAAAGGATTCCCATCCCTCACTTTCTTTTAACCATCCCCTTGATTTGTGATTGCTTTGGCAGTAGGTGCTGCTATTCAAAAACCTCAACAAAACAGCAGGCAGCAGAGCACCCCACCCCCGTTTGTTTTGCAGGCGTATCTCAGAAGCAGCAATGAAAACATTTCCCCCTATCCCCTCTGCTTCTGGTATCTTCTCATAAGGCAGGGTGGGCAACCTGTGACCCTTGGTCTCTCATTTCATGCAGGTGAGCAAGGTGGGTGGAAGCAATGCAGGAATGCTGAGAGGGAGAAAATGGGGGGACGACTATTGCTATTATCTATGGGCCTGTTGAAATTCTCTTTCAGGACTGAAACCCAGACACCCAGACCGTGCAAGAAATGGCTGAAGGGGAAATCACGACATTCACAGCTCTGACAGAGAAGTTTGATCTCCCGATGGGGAATTACAAGAAGCCCAAACTCCTTTACTGCAGCAACGGAGGCCATTTCTTGAGGATACTTCCTGATGGCAAAGTAGATGGCACAATGGATCGAAATGACCAACACAGTAAGCTTTTACTTGCTTTTTATCAGTGGGTCTCAAACGGAAAGAAACCCTTATTGTGGTGTCCTATTGGGGTGGACTTTGGTAATATGGTGCCCTGAGCGAGGCCCCCAAATGTATCTTCTCAATTATGAATCTTCTCTGTTTTGCACCCCTTGTGCTTCGTGCCCTGTGCAGGGGAACCACTCACACCACCCTAAATCCAGCACTGGACCTCTCCACTATGGAACCTTTGATCATTTGCCATGGAACTTGACTGTTTGGCAAAGGATCCTGGTGGCACATTCTAGAGTGCACTGTTGTGGGGGGTTTCTACTCGGCCAATGAGAGCTGAGTGTAGCCTAGGACATGCCGAACACCAAATCCATAGCTGTCAACTTTTCCCTTTTCTTGTGAGGAATCCTATTCGGAATAAAGGAATTTCCCTTTAAAAAAAGGGAAACGTTGACAGCTATGCAAATCTCATTCTCCTCTACATGACAATGTAGCAAGCACTGATGTTTAAAGCATGCCAAAGGCTTCCCATCTATATGTGTGTGTTTTTAATGTGTGTGTCTGTGATAATTCAACATTAAATATGTACGCATGTGTAAGTTCAACCGTTAAAGATAAACCACCACCCCTAAAACACAAATCATAGCCGCAACCACAGACACAGGTAGCTGAAAACCAAAAAGAACTGCAAGCCAGGAGATAATGGTTCGATTTGTGTGATCAATGGACACGTGTGCAGGACGTCTGAACAGAGTCCCTGCAATGCGCAGGATGATCCTTCCAGACGACTGGGAATCTTGCACTTGGAGACAGAGGCCGCTGTGGGTCCAGCCACATATGCAGAGGCTTCATCCTGCTGCATTTCCCTTACGTGTGTTCACTGATCCCACAGCCTGAATGCCTGAGATTCAACAAGATAAAGACTGCAGCTGGTTAGGAGGATGTCTGCATTGTGCATCACAGTCTGTAGGTCATCCCCTGGCTCTTTCCATAGACCTCAGTCAGAAGCTAGTGTCCTGCAAGTTGCTCTGTAACAACCAATCAGCATCTCTCCCCTCCATTCTCCCAGACAGTATCTAGTCAGAGAAATGTGTGGAGTGAGATCTCTTTGTTCAGCATTTCCCAACCCACTACAAGTGGAGAAAGTTCGATAGGATACTGTTACACTGAACATGCCTTTTACAAGAAATTTTACTAGGCGAGGTGCAGATCTGTGGCAGCGATATGTCCATTATAAAGTCGAGCTCAGCCCTTAGCCTGCTTTAGCCAGCAGCATTACCACAGCAATCTCTTGCAAGTACTGCTAGTCTTGATTGTATAGCCTTATCTCTGCTCATTTTAATCAAACCTATTGAATAATTGCCCTCATTGGCCCTGTATATATTATTACATTTACAATTCCAAAGCACAGGGAACATGGTGCTCTAAACCTCGGAAAAAATGATGCCCTATATCCCAGAACACCGAGGAAATCAGGCACTTACCTGGGCCTCATTTGTTCCAGGGCTCAGGTTCAAAATCATTAATTAGCATGAGTGATGGATCCTGGAATATGGGAAAGAATAAAATTGTCTCTGATCATGTACCGACTGCCTTCAACGCGTTCTCCCCCAGCCCCCAAAACTAAATACATACACTCGTAGAATTACGGAGGAGTACTTTAGAGTCGTTCGCAACTGGACTTAACTGTCAGGGGTCCTTTACCTTTACCTTTTACTTTACTCATAGAAGCCAGCACCCTTGCCCAGTTTTCAGCTGACCGGCTTTGCAAGAGGTTGGATTACGTGACTCCTTGTGGTCCCTTCCAACTCTACAATTCTATGACCTTCAGGATGGGTCAAGCACAGTGATGAAAAACAGCCGTCGTGGCACTGGTGCCAACAATATTATAAAACACTTAAAGCTTACCTGCCCATATTTCCTACTTGACCATATCAATTTACTTTCCATGTTTGGGGACCGTATGCAGTACCCTACAGTAACTGAAGGTCCTATGGATAAGGAATGTGTTTTATCGCTCTTTTGTATAGGATGTGTTCTCAACAGAAGATCCATTTTCCTCTCCCCCTACACAGCACTTCATAATGGATTCCTGAGGGAACAGAATCTGCTGAAATGCTTATTCTGTGCTTTAACATGATGGAGAGAGGAAGTGGGAAGGACGAAGAATGCATGGGAGCCAATAGTTTCCTCCTTAGGACAAGAACACTTTATTCCCTTACTGGGATTCAGTGCTTGCTCCTTGCGCCATGTGTTCTGAAGAATGTCCTAAACTGACTAAATGGGGCTTTAAAAGAGACTTTATCCTTGATCAGTTAAGAGCAGCAGTTTCCCAAACTTTTGCCTTTCATGAATGTCCAAACTACAATGTTAGGACCAAATGCATTGCTTCCAGTTTCGTCGTGGACTGTGTCACATGACTATTGTAATAAAGTACTTGTTTCCTACCCATAACACTGCAAAGCAGAAAAAAAATGAGCTTCTCACCAGTGCTTTTTTTTCTGGGGGTACTCAAGGGTACACAGTGCCAGCCCAATTTTTTTCCTAGAGGAAAAGCACTGGGTGTTGCCCTGTAATGTGAATCAGTTTTCCGATGCTGCCTGATGAATATGGCCTAGTGTTTAGCATCCTTCCTCAACATCAGGGGTCAGCAAACTTACTGACCAGTGTCTCCAGTGCCCATTGCGCAGTGGGCCAGAGGGCAGAGGAGCGCGTGCCCATACGCATGCGCACACACTATTTCTGCCACACTTCCGGGTCAGAGGAGCACCGGAAATAGCTTGTGCACATGTGCACAGGCCTTCTCCGACCCGGATGTGCACTGGAAAAAACACATGCGCATGCGCACAAGCTATTTCCGGTGCTCCTCCAACCCGGAAGTGGGCCGCTGCGCAGCACAGCGCCGGTAAGAGTGGGTGGCGGCAGCGGGAGGTGGTGCGGGCCGGATAACGAGTCCCTCGGGCCTTATCCGGCCCGCAGGCCTTAGTTGGGCACCCCTGCTCAACATGATGCCTTTCAGATCTTTTGACCTACAACACCCTTCAGACGTATGTGTGTCGTGGTGAAGATGCTGGACTAGGACCTGCCAGACCAGGATTCAAATCCTTCCAGAGTCACTAGGTGACCTTGGGACAGTCACAGTCTCTCCGCTTAAGCTGCTTCACAGGGTTGTTGTGAGGATAAAAAGCGGGGAGGGGCGAGAACTATGTACATCATCTTGTGCTGCTCAAAGGAGAAATGGGATAGAAATGTAATAAATGAATGAATAAAACCGCCCACCGCTCACTGGGCTGGTTGGGACTGATGGAAGTTGTAGTCCAAATCATCTGGCAGATGCCAGGTTGAGGAAGGGGGTGTGTGTGGATAGCTCAGAGTGTGGTGAGGATAATGCCAGGATTTGCAGGTACAATCCCTGTATGGGACAGCTGCATATTCCTGCATTGTATGGGGTTGGACTAGATCAGTGGTTCCCAACGTTTTTTTGGCCATGCCCCACCTAAGCATCTCTAAAATCCTGATGCCCCACCCTACTCTGTGACATATAATTCCTATTACTCAAAAAGTGAAATCCTTTTCATGTGGCGGAAGCCTAAAAGGCCTGACTCATTCTCGAATTGCCGCCCTTAAAAATCCAGTTGCCCCCCTGTGGGGCATGTGCCCCACGTTGGGAACCATGGGACTAGATGACCCTCAGGGTCCCTTCCAACTGTACAATTCTACAATCCAAGGCAGCTGTGGAACTCTACCTGTATCTATGTCATTAAGAAATGGCTCTTTTCTTTACAAAATCATACATACAGATGTATGGCTTACGGCTCCACCCATGCGAATCTGCGTTTTGAAGTTCCAACGCTATTACGGTCACAAAATGCTTGGGAGGCTTGTGGAACTCCTTTGCCCCAGGAAACTGGCGGGTGAGATTGGCAGCTTGATACTGGAAGATAAGACAGGACAATAAGCTCAACTGTTGTGATGGTATAGCAGCTCTGACATGCATCGTGCTCCCCTGTGCACTGGAACACACACTTGCAATGCACTGATTTCACAGGAGGAGCCTCTTCCTGCCCTGTGTGTGTACTCTGTGCTGCTGTGCACTTACTGGAATACAGCTGGGCTCCCTGCTGCAGGATGTGCTGACAGGAGGCAGTCAGACGCGCTCTCCAAATTCTAAGAAAAGCACCTTCTTATTTTTTCCTTCTTTTTTAAAGGAAAGCCACAGGAATATGTGGTTTCCCTCCCCTGCCCCAACTTTGCTCTCTGGTTTGTTTCTGAAGTCAGTTTATGGCAGAGGTTTAATTATAAATGCCATTTACACACTCACACTCTCACACACACGCTCAACAGTGGACTGAGCGAAGATGATCTCATCCTGAGTAAACATAGCAAAGGACAGACGGGAAGTCTCTAACCCAGAGTAAACTGGCATGCAACCTTTCAGAAACCCTGTTCAAGCAACGGAGGTAGGAAAGCAAACAAGGAGGGAAATCTGCAGAAGGCACATAAGCCTGCCTACCGTTTGCAAGGAACAAGCTGGGCAAGATGCAGGAGGAGAGACATGCTCTGAAATACAGAGGCCACCCCTCCCGACAAGTGTATTTGCTAACACCTCTCTCTTCTGCAATGCATAGGTAGCACCAGCTCTAGATCCAGGGTTTTTTTTGGGGGGGGCATCGGGCAAGATGCCCTTTCTGAGTGGCCCCACTGCACTGCCATCATCACTGAACAGCCCCTGCCTGGTATCCACTGATGCTGACCTTTGGTGTCAGCCCTATGTAGCTAGCTCAGCATGCAGTATGGGGTCTGGGCTTGCACTGTTTGAAAAGAGAGCCCCCTCATCCCACAGAGAATCCTTGGGTCAACTAGTTCCAACTCCCTGCTCAGAACATGGTCTTCATAAGGGCATAACGTCTTCTAAACTTAGCAGACACTCAAAAGCAGTTTGAGTGGGACAGGGGAAATATGTTTTGTTGTTCAAAGTAAAGCCATCAGTCAGTCCCACTGCCTTCAGGGAGTTCTGTGGACCTCAGAAAAGGTTTGCTGCTCACAGCAGAACATAAAGAATATGGCAGGAACTCCTCTACCATTAATTGCAGAGATATCAAGAATAGGCTTCAGAGGGGATGTAGTGCTAGTCAAATTTCTTATGTTGAGAGTTCACTTCATCAGATGCCCTGAATGCCATCCTGAGTTGGCAAGTATACACACATAGATAGATAAATATTTTAAGCTGAGATCTTCCCCACTTCACAACAATATTGTTTTTATGCACTGGAACACACACTCACAATGCACTGATTTCACAGATTGGTGTGTGTGTAGAAGGGGAAGGGGAACATTGTTCAGAACAAAGAAAAACAGAATCCACTCCAGACTTATGTGTTTTACAAGAACTCCAAGAGTCGCCCTGGAAGCAGGTGCAAAAGACCAGCACTTAGATTTTAAGAACACTATGCTGACAATATTCTGCTCCAGTGGGCAGTACAGCCGCCGCATTTTGCACTAGCTGCAACTTCCTGACCTACCACAAGGGCAGCCACACATGGAGTGCATTGCAGTAGTCCAATAGGCTACCAGCCCATAGTCAGTCTATTGTGGTCCAGAAATGGCTTTACCTATCTTATGTACCCTAGCTAGTAGAAGGCATTCCTAGCCACTGAGGTCACCTGGGTCTAGAAACAAAGATGGATATAGATGCACCCCCAGTCGACTAACCTGGTTTTTCAGAGGAAATACAACCCTATGCAAAGCAAGTAATTGATAAATTATCTGGACTTGGGAACCACCCAACCACAGTGCCTCCATCTTGCCAAGATTCAGAGTCAGTTTATTGGTCCTCATCCAGCACACCACCAAGACTAAATTGTGCACAGCCTCCCCTGATTCAGATGGTAACAAAAAGGGTATCATCAGCATACTCGTAACACCTTGCTCCAAATCTCCTGATGACTGTTTCCAACTTCATATAGATGTTAAACAGCATTGGGGACCAGATAATACCCTATGATACCCCACAGCACAACTGCCGGTGGGCCAAAAGTCAACCACCCAATGCTGTTCCCTGAAACTGACCCTGAAGATAGAGTCAGCTGGCAGTGTTTATTTTTCTCTTACTTTCTATTATATTGGCAAATATTTTTTGTTTTAAAAATGAATTGGGGAGAAAAGTGGGGCCTTATTCTATTACAGTGGTGAGAAACATGTGGTCCTACAGATGTTGTTGAACTCTAGCTCCAATCAGCCCTGACCATTGGCCATGCTGGCTGGGGCTGATGGGAGCTGGAGTCCCGCAACATTTGGAGGGCCAAAGGTTCCCTGCTCTATTGTGTATTCGGATCATCTGGTATTGAGGGGGATGCTGCTTATGTACACAGAGGTCCCATTTAGCCGCCGCCACCAGATGCTGGAGGTCCTCTCCTCCATGAATTTGTCTAATCCTTTTGAAAAGGCCATATAACACAGTAGCCATTGCTTCATTTTTGTGGTAGCAAAAGATTTTCCAGGCCTTCCCAGTGTCCAGCTGTGTTGTAACAAGGATGGATTCCTACTCCCTAATAGGTCAGCAAGCTGTAAGAGGAAGAACAGCTATGAACTAGGAAAAGCATTAGCTCCATGTGAAAACACACACACACACACACACCCCTCCCACCATGCACCACTGGCGCAGTATAGTCTTCTCAATGATTTCTTCCCCCCCCCTCAGAAAAATGTTGCGTGTAGCCAGTGTTGCTTTCTAAAGGGTGTATGTTTGCTAGCTTGTGCCAGAAATGAGCTTAGCGTAAATGAGCTATTAAACTTGGACATCCTGATGAAAAAATATTTACAGAGGAAACTCCTTAAACGGGTATGTGCCAGCGGAATAACCCTAGTTACAGAGGACAAGTCTTGGGCTGACGACGTAAGTAAACTTGGGTGGTGCCCTCACTTTCCACAACCTATTGAACTAATCTTTGTAATGACATTTGTACAGGGCCAGAGCCCTGACTCTGTTGAAGTGAACAGAGCCCATTTACATGGAATGATGTGTACAAACAGCAATTGTTTCTTTTAGTGATATGCAGTCCATCCTCTCACTCACACCACAAAACAGCCACAAAAGTAGAAAGAGGTCTTCTTTAATGAGGCATGGGCTGCTACTAGGAGAAACATAATCTTCTCTTTCACCCCTTCCTCTCATGCACGCACTCTCTCTCTCTCCCTCTGTATGTCTGTGTTTGCACACATGCAAATCCTGAAGACACTTGCCTCAGAAAAAGTCATGCTGAATTGGATGAGCAGACATGAACAGGGCTGCTGTACAGGGTGGTGGATTGGAACCAGTGGCACCACTGCCAGATTGTTGCTAGGTGTCCCTTTTAAAGCGAAGTAAAGAAAAAATGGGAGACAGAGAAAGGAAGCAAGAAGATCGTGGGAGACAGAGAGAGAAGGTGGCTAATGGATATCTATGGCAAAAAAAAAACCATACCTCATTGTTAAAGGTAAAGGTAAAGGGACCCCTGACCATTAGGTCCAGATGTGATCGACTCTGGGGTTGCGGCACTCATCTCGCTTTATTGGCCGAGGGAGCCGGCGTACAGCTTCCGGGTCATGTGGCCAGCATGACTAAGCCGCTTCTGGCAAACCAGAGCAGCGTACAGAAACACCGTTTACCTTCCCGCTGGAGCAGTACCTGTTTATCTACTTGCACTTTGACGTGCTTTTCAACTGCTAGGTTGGCAGGAGCTGGGACTGAGCAATGGAAGCTCACCCCGTCTTGGGGATTCAAACCGCCGACCTTCTGATCGGCAAGTCCTAAGCTCTGTAGTTTAACCCACAACGCCACCCGTGTCCCCTCACCTCATTGTTACTGACCCCAAATTATCCACTGGAGTTTATTATATAAAATAAAGGATTGGTTTAATAATTTTAATATAAATAAAGTAAGTTTCCCCCTGACTATATTATGTAATTTCCTCTCTCTTTCTCTGTTTGGTTTTTGTCATGAGTTGTGCATGAGCAGCCAACTTTTTCTCAAAGACAAAGTCATTAGAGGATTCAGCATCATCTTTTATCTTGCAAGATCACATTTCTTAAAACAACAACAGCAACATGAATATGAATTAAGAATCGTTACCCCCAACCTCCCATAGGAAGCAGTTCTTGTTTTCATAAATGGCTGTTGGCTGCAATTCTCACATCTACTTGTAGCTGTGCATTCAGAGCTACTGCACAGCCCAAGTGATCCTGGAGGGTTGTCAAGTTCTCCTTCAGCAGGGGAATGGTTCATCTGATTGAGTCATCTGAATGTGATTTAACAAAATAATTCCCTGCCACTGGAAGAACCTCTGGCATGGGTGCATATTCCCCTTCATAACTTTTGTCCTGGCACACTGGGCTAGCCATTCTAACTTACTTTTTTCTGTGAGATGGTTCATATTTAAGGGGAGGCATTAAATGCTGATGACTGGTCCAGAAATGTGAAAGGAGTCATACCAAAAGACTAAATGATCCCCTCAGATTTGGATTTTATGCAATCATGGAGAAGAAGGAAACAGAGATATTTGAATGAATGACTTTACAAAAGACTGGAAAGCTGAGCAAGGAACAGTCCACACACTGCAATATTTTGCCGCAGGTCTCAATTGCTACACCCATGCCACATTCTTTTTTTCCTCCAAGGAGCTTAGAGAAGCTAGCACATCCTTTCCTACATCTCTGGACCACTGCTTTACCTTCCTGCTGCTGTTCTTATTATTATTTTCTATTGCAGTTCAACTGCTGCTAAGTGCGGAAAATTTGGGTGAGGTGTACATAAAGAGCACAGAGTCTGGGCACTACTTGGCCATGGATGCCAATGGCCGTTTATATGGCTCGGTAAGTATGAGGTTTCTGTGGGACTGGGACTGGGGGAGGTTTTGAGGTTTGCAGATATATTGTAGCCCACGAGCAGCAAATAGACACTGTTTGTTGTTTTTGCAGCTGGGTTGCCACATTTTGCCCAGCTTTATTTCTGGAAAAATAAATAAAATAATGAGAAGCGATGTTCCAAAATACTTCCAGATATTGGATTTCGTATTTGGAAGGAGCAATGCTGCTTCTTCCTCCAGCTGCCAAATCACAGAGGGTGATGCCATTAGGGACACTGAGCCAAATTTAACCCTAGGATAAACAAACGTCAGAGATGTTGTATGTGCTGTTCACTCAGCAGGCTGGAGTGGTGGAAGGATAGAGAAGGGGCTGAAAAGAAACAACCCTGCAGAACAACAGATAGGTGGAGCCAAAAAGTTAGTGCTGCCATCTTGGCTGTTGCTCAGTGGCAGAGCATCATAGTGGCAGGCAGAAGGTTCAAGGTTCAATCTCAGCATCTCCAGTTAGGGCTAGGCTGACAAAATCCTGGAGCGCCACTGCCAGACAGTGTAGATGGACCAACGCTAAGCTAGATGGACCAATGGTCTGACTTCCTATAAGGCAGCTTCCTATCTTCCATCCAGGTTTCCCAATCACATGGATCAACACAGAATCAGAGAATTGTAGAGTTGGAAGGGACCCTGAGGGTCATCTAGTCCAACCCCCTGTGATACAAGAATCTCAGCTAAAGCATCCATGACAGATGGCCATCCAATCTACGCTTAGAAACCTCCAAGGAAGGAGAGTCTGCAACATTCTGAGGGAGTCTGTTCTGCTGCCTCCTCTCAGTCTCCTCTTTTCCAGGAGAAACATTCCCAGCTCTTTCTAGCTCTCCTCATAAGGCTTAGTTTCCAGACCCTTGATCATCTTGGTTGCCCTCCTCTGCACACGTTCCAGCTTGTCAACATCCTTATTAAATTGTGGTGCCCAGAACTGGACACAATATTCCAGGTGTGATCTGACCAAGACAGAATAGAGCGGTACTATTACTTCCCTTGATTAGGACACTATACTTCTGTTGATGCAGCCTAGAACAGCATTAGCTTCTTTTGCTGCTGCACCGCACTGTTGACTCAGAAGGGCACTTCCAAACTATCACTATCAGTCACACTGCAGCAAATGTAGGCTGCACAGTTAACACACCTGTTTCCCCCAAAGACCAGACTTTTCCCAATGAAAAAAGTGATGGGGAAATGCACCGAAAAGTGTGAGATAGCACTTGCTTGATGCAGAAGCCAGCACCATCCTTCATTGCTGACGGAGAACTCAGCAGCTTCATTTGCTTCCCATTATGAATGCACCTCTCTCTTTCTCTTTTCTTCAGCAGTTGCCAACGGAAGAGTGTTTGTTCCTGGAGAGAATGGAAGAAAACCATTACAATACCTACACATCAAAGATGCACGCAGATAAAAACTGGTTTGTCGGCTTGAAGAAGAATGGGAAAAGCAAACTGGGACCGCGGACTCATTATGGCCAAAAGGCAATCCTCTTCCTCCCCCTGCCAGTTTCACCCGATTAGATAGTTTCCCCACGTAGCAAAATATGTTCCTTAGAACAAAGCAGCCAGGAGACTTTTCCCTTTCCTTTCCTTCGATTCTCCCTCCTGCTGGGGAACATGACAAAGATGTGGGAGATGGGGAAAATGCAAAGCAATTCCATAAAACATGCATGTATACAAGCAGAGTGCACAGGCATCTCAGACGCACTGCCTCCAAAATGAACCAGGTCACTTAATAGTCATACAACAGAACGTACCTTGGTGTTCAGCTTCTACGGTCATGTATGTAGCAAAGCTCCCCTTTTTCTGAAACCCGCATTTAAACCATATGATCTAACTTCCAAACAGCTTTTTCATAATCCTTGTGTATCACATGGAATCATAACCAACAATGCTGAAGCTATCCTATTATTTAAAACAAATTTAACTGTGTGCTTATAGTACCAGGATCCTTGCTTCTTAAAAAGTAACATTGCTCTGGTTCTTGGTAATATTTCTGTAATATATATTTATTTATTAATAAGACTGTATACAATCTACATTATTAGGCCATTTTAACTGTAGACAATCAATATTGTGTATATTACATAAGACCAGTGCTTTTTTTCCTGGTGGGGACGCAGGGGTACGCATACCCCTAAACATTTTGTGAATCTAAGTTTGGCCTCGTTGAGGGGCAGCATTTCTATATGAGCAGGAAAATGAAAGTACCCCTAAACATTTTTTTAAAGAAAAAAAGCACTGCATAAGACAAGATCTTAAATACTTTGGCAAGGAAAATGAGCAAACACAGAAGAAATATAAAAACACAGTGGAGCACTTATATACAAATGTAACTCCAGTTGGAAGCAATGAAAGTTTAACCATGAGCCAAAATCCTGCTGATTTCAATGTGGCATTAAAGATGTGGTCTGCACTGTGCTGATGGTGACACTTAGCCCCACCCCTCAAGACCAGCACAGTCTGTTGAGCCCCAGAAAACCCCAGGCAAACCAGAGATCTGGAGCTGGCAAGGCCCACAGGCCATGTGATAAAGGCCAGCACTGCTTATGGGTAGGTGCAGCCATCATAAGAGCCCCCAGTTAGGACGAGTGTTGCAGCTGGGCTTGGTGCTCCAGGCTGATGGGGCTTTATTCCACCAGTCACTGTTACATGATCAGCTATGTCAGAACCAATGAACAACGTGGTTGCCTGATGTTTTTGAGGAGTGGTGGGGGCAAGGAGCTCTGGTAGAAAGCAGATTTCCCTAGGGAACAGACTTAGAGAAGTGTGACAGGAATTCATTGTTCATCTGTAGTCATATTTTGCCACATATTTCTTATTTCATTTACTTGCCACAGACATAAAAACAACCAGCTTAACTGTATACAATGACTGTGTGGTTAAATAACTGAATTTCCAATGACCTTCGAAGAGAACTTGCACTTTTCTCTATCCTTGCAAGATACATGGAACCTTGTTGTAATTTGCAGGTCATATCCCAGGTTTCGCGAGCTCTTTAAATTCCATTGATTTCCACGATTTTGAAGGAGGGTGGGCCTGTTTGCATGCCATTACTCTAGAATCTAGATCATTATAGGGGCTGCAGAGATGCTGCATTCAATGTTGACTAAACACACAAAAGTGGGAGCTAAATAATGCACTTTGGCCCTGACCTAACCCCCCCCCCTTCCCAGCTACATGCATTCAGCATCATTTCTCAAAAGAGCCTATTTATCTGCCTACAATACAGGCATAAGCTCTATGCTGAAGGAGAGGACAAGACTAATAAACATAACATCTGAATGTAACATCTGCACATTCTAGAGTGGTTTGGGGATACAATTGCAAATTGACCAGTTGCAAAATGACAGATGAATCACTTTCTTCCCTAGGTTATTAGTACTGCAATCTGTATTATTTTACTGAATTTCAAAAGCTGCTTGATCAGCCATATATTTGGCATGCCACAGTTTTTAGTTCCAAGGGAGGTAAACTATGCTATCTTGCTGTTCTTATTTCTGGATTTCCCAGTGTGTTTTCCACAGCAGCAAAGCATGCAGATTAACTTCTGATTAAACATTCTGCCTTTCCTGAGTTTTATTTTATCATTACTAATTACATTAATTGTCGCTTACTACAAACATATCTCAAAGTGGCATACAGTTATAAAAGCATACAATAGAAAATTTAAAGTGTATCAAAAAACAAAAATCAATGGGCTAAAAGTGCTCAAATCAAAGCTTTTGTGATACACTAATTTGCTGGCAATCTGTTTTCTGTTGTACCTCAACATATCTGGCACTACCAAAGGACACCCTCAGTGCTTCCCCACTGTCAGTTCCTACATCTCACACCAGTAAGGGTTATTCATGTCAGTACTTGAGTGTTTCCAAAAAGTCACACTTGGTTCCAGAACAAACCCAAACATAGGGCACTCTGTGTTACCCATTGGACCATCTGCTCCTAAACCATCACTGCAGGTTTCTGAAATCCTTTAGGCCCATTTGCTAATAACATTCCTCAATAGATGAAATAGTGGCCTTTTTGCAGGGATGCGTTCTTGTGTCTCATTATTTTCTTGCTTTGGTTTGGGATAGGCCTGGGATCCTATAACAACCATAGGTGCAAGGGGTGGAGAGAGATAGGCAGATTTGGCTTAGGCAAATGCATAGAGGGCAGGTCTATCCCTTAGCAGCTTGCTGTTGTTTAGTCGTTTACTTGTGTCCGACTCTTCGTGACCCCATGGACCAGAGCACGCCAGGCACTTCTGTCTTCCACTGCCTCCCGCAGTTTGGTCAAACTCATGCTGGTAGCTTCAAGAACACTTTCCAACCATCTTGTCCTCTGTCGTCCCCTTCTCCTTGCGCCCTCAGCGGTACCACTACATTCAGTGCCAAGGTGTTGGAGAAAAAACAGAGAACCGTCTTCCATTGCAATACTCACATTTTTAATGGGAGGAAAGTGACAGCCACCTGTGCCAATAAGCCCACCCAAAACAACTTGGAATAATTGCCCCAGTCCTGGGTCCCTCGCATTCCAAGCACTAGCTCCAGATGTTGCAAGGCTGTGAGCTAAGCTGCATGCGACAAGGAAAAGCTTCCCAGCAGTGGCGTAGCGTGGGTTGTCAGCACCTGGGACAAGTCAAGTAATTTGCGCCCCCTAACCCGTGGATTTGCGCCCCCTAACCTGTGGATTTGCCCTAACCCCAGATGTTGCGCCCGGTGCGGCCGGCCCCCCCTGCACCCCCCACGCTACGCCACTGCTTCCCAGCATCACTAGCCTGGTATTTGTGAACAGGAAGGATTTCAGATCAGACTACGGTGATCATAGTCTGGGCCGTGGCTCAGTGGTGATCTGCTCTGCATGCAGAAAGTCCCAGGCTCAATCCCCAGGTAGGGCTGGGAGAGATTTCCTGCCCAAAACCCTGGAGAGCTTCTGCCAGTCCGGTTCTCAACCTGTGGGTCCCTAGATGTTGTTGGACTACAACTCCCATCATCCCTGAGCTCTGGCCTTGCTAGCTAGGGGTGATGGGAGTTGTAGTTCAACAACATCTGGGGACCCACAGGTTGAGAAAGGCTGGTTTAGACAGCCCTGAACAAGATGGGTCAGGGGTCTGACTGAGCATAAGGCAGTTCCCTGTGTTCCTATCCTGAGCTTGAGCAAAGCCTACCTACCAAGTATTTCCAAAAGGAAAAAAACAAAACGTGTCAGGGTGCAAGTCCAGTTTACCTAACATCCTGTCTCTAGTCCTAGCATGTGGGAGGTATTTCCAGGATAGCAGCTAAAGGAAGGGTATGTTGTTATTTCTTGGACAGAGGACAATTCAGGAAATCCGTTCCTGTCCCAAGATAGAAACTTTTCCTCAGCAAAGGAACAGAGTTCCACAGAACCAGAGTCTGCGAGAAATATGCCTCTGATTCACAAGGCACTTTTCTTATTTGCTGGAAACTTCTTTTCTCCAGTGTGTGCGTGCAGGGTTTTCTTTTCTGTTTACTGCTATAAGATACAATTCAACAGCACTACATTGCAGCAAGCACTTCGTTTGTCAAATGAGATCAGTGTTTCTTTCCCACCATTCTGTTTTTCTTCTGTTTGTAAACTCCTGCCAGATTTTCTTCTCGCTTACTCCTTCTCTATAAGACCCCCTCCCTGTTCCCAGTCATCATCCTCTCCGGGGATTAAGCGTTTCTGTTGAAATGCCCAGCTGTCTTTTCTATCTATGTGCATTTGCTCCACCTGGCCTGCTGGAGACTCTCATGTGATGTAATCCAACCAAGAGGAGCTTCCCTGCTCTGTTTATGCTCCTCCATACAGTCTTATACAAGCTGCTGGGTCAGGAACTGACCATGAGCTTGTCCGTGTTTCCACTTGTGGACTGCCTAGAAAACGCGGATCCAAGCAATTTTCTCCTTGTCCTGCTCCTTTCCGAGGGAAAACCTGTTCTTTTGCGATAGATTGGAACAAATGGCAATCCCAAATCAACAGTGTTGTACTATAATTATGCAATAAAACAGTGTTGTACTATAATTATACAAAAATATTATACAATATTTATACAATAAAAGGATGGGGAACCTCTGGCCACAGATGAAAACTTCCCTATGACAATACATCCTTAAACAAAGAAAATGGTTTGTCAGGAGAAGGCTAGATAAGAACCCTTGCCCCTGACCTCTACTTTTCTGTATGCCCCTTTTTGCTTTGTTTATGTAGAGGAATAGTCAATAAAACCCATGGTTTGAAATGGTGCAGAATGCATCCTACAACCTGATCTGTGCCTTCCTTGAGCTGAGACTTTATTCTGAGTAGATCAAAGCAATACATGTATGCAGACTGTAGGCATGTTTTGAAAATGCTTAAGCAGCAAAAAACATGGATCACTTCATTCAACAGTGCAGTTATTTTTTGGCTAGAAGACTTACATCAGGACACTTGTGATTGTATGAATATGCACCTGTCGGTTCTACAGTGCAGTTAGAAAGCAGGTATCCAAATATCTTAGCCCTCTTGGATATGAGCCATCCTTCACATAAATGACTTAGCATTTAACTCCATAATTCATTCACCTTGATAAGGTTCATGTCCATTAACCTGATGCCGGAACAGCTTAATTTTGATGGATAATAGCTGGAAGCCCTGGGATTAAAAGAAGTGCAAGGACACAGCGGCAGCAATTTTTGCAAAGGACTGAAACTGTGCACTAAAATGCAAATTGTTGTGTCCACAGGACACAACAATTCCTGTGGTGCCACAGGAAAAGGCAAAGGAAAGTGCAAGGAAGTCTTTATGAAAGGAAGATACAGTAGTAGTACAGAGGTTAACAGATTTGGAACACGGCACAAGAAACTGCTAGAACTAGTTTATGGGCCATCTACAGCTAACCAGCATATATAGTCAGGTTTTGCTACCATCGCGTGCGCGCGCGCGCACACACACACACACACACACACACCTCTTTCAAAGAACCAGGTTGCCAATTGGGTGCAAACAGAAATGTCTGTGTGCACAGGTGATTGGAACTTCTAATTAAATCCGAAAGCTGGAAAACGGTAATATCGGATTTAGTTCTGCTGTTTCCCAGCACCTCATTAACCTCAGGGCATTCCTTTCATTAGACATCTGAAGCCTGGCTATTGCTAACCTCACGTGTATACTTGACACCCAACTGGGGGGAAATGTCAACACTCCTGCCTGAAAAATAATCCCCAGTAATTGCTCCAGATGGATGAACAGGAGAGAACAGCACTGCCAGCTAAAGCTATAGGCCACAAATTATCCAAAACGGACTTAAGCCTGCCTAAGCCCATCAATTTCAATGGGTTTAAGGCTGCTTAAATCTGCGCTGGAATATGGCCATACACGGTTTTAAGGAGTTTATCCCTCCTCCAGCTCAGATGAAGAGATGAAAGATGACAAAACCTTCCTTTTAAAAAATTGATTTAATAGATTATCAGAACTAAATATCTGTTAACGATGGAAAATGGGGGTGTGGGGAGCAGGATAGTTCTCAAGCTGCTGGGCTGAAGGGGGAGGTAAGAAAGTGAGTATATTTTGTATGAATGGGGCACAGGAGGAGGGTGTTGGAGGGTAGAGGATCTTCAAGCACCTGAAGGGAAAAAACTGAACAAGACTGCAGCAGCACAGGATGTTTGGAATGTAAAAGCTCTTGCAGAGAGGTTAACACATCCTCCCACAGCCCCAGGATAGAGAGGGCCCCTCGGTGTAATAAAGAAAAAGCTGGCTGGACATATAAATTGCAGCTCTAAAGCCATGACAAGCTGGTAACTGAATAATGAGGATGAAGAAACAATCTGTAGAAAAGGAACACAGAGACAGAATTACTGGGTCCTATACTCAGAGAACTTCAAGTGGATTGGCATGGGGGGTGGGGTGGGATTTCTTACAGGTCAGCTTTCTGCAGTTGGATGCACACAAAACATCTGCATAAATGGAGGTGGTCCAGATATCTGTTCAGCCTATATATGGGAGGCTATCTAGGGGCAATTAAAAAAGAGGCTCTCTTTCTCCAACTAAACCTTAGGAGTTAAATTATCCCTAAGCTTGGAATGGGTGTGTTTCCCTTACCCACCATTGAGGTAAGGTTACCAGATGTCCCCGTTTCCCGGGCACAGTCCTCAGATTTACAAATCAGTCCGCTGCAAAATCCTATCATTCCAATTTATTTCAATGAAGTGTTCCCAGATTAATTGAAAGAAATCTGGTAACCTTACCTTGAGGACCAGTTGCAATGAAAGATACGGGTTGCTGACTTTTTTCTCTCAGGGCTCCCATGCCTTTAGCAAACAGAAAACCAATGCCTGAACCCCCCTCTCCCCCCCCCTGGAAACTGTAGCAGCTGAATTGTTCTGTGTCTCATGTACAGTGGTGCCCCGCAAGACGAATGCCTCGCAAGACGAAAAACTCGCTAGACAAAAGGGTTTTCCGTTTTTTGAGTCGTTCCGCAAGACGAATTTCCCTATGGGCTTGCTTCGCAAGACTTGCGAGTTCTTGCGAGTTTGTTTCCTTTTTCTTAAAGCCGCTAAAGCCGCTAGGCCGTTAATAGCCGCTAAGCCACTAAGCCGCTAATAGCCGCT